GGAAGTATACTAGAGAGCTGTTGAAATGATTTAAAATGGAAAATGCCAAGGTATGTAGTACTCCAATGAGCCCATTCATCCAAAATTAGAAAAAGATGAAAAAGGCAAGGATGTGGATATCAAGCTGTTTAGAAGTATGATTGGTTCTTTGCTATATCTAACGGCAAGCAGACCAGACATATATTTTAGTGTCTGTCTATGTGCTAGATTTAAATCGTGTCCCAAAGAATCTCATTTAATTGCTGTAAAAAGAATACTAAGATATCTTTGTGGAACTTCTAATCTGGGTCTATGGTATAACAAGAATAGATAGAAAAAGCACGTCTGGGACTTGTCAATTTCTGGGTAGTGCCCTTGTATCATGGTTTAGCAAGAAACAGACATCAGTTGCTCTTTCTACTGCCAGAAGCAGAATATGTTTGCTGCTGGAAGTTTGTGTTCACAAGTTCTATGGATCAAACAACAGTTGGCAGACTATGGACTTGAAATTAGAAACAGTTGCCTATCAAAATGATGACAACATAAGCGCCATTCAATTTATTCCAGAATCCAGTTCAGCATTCTAGAAACCTAGCATATGAACTCAGACATCACTTTCATATGTGATCATGTACAAAAAGGTGATTATCGTGATTTGAGTTCATTCCCACAGGGAAAAGCAATTGGCCAGATATTTTTTATCAAAACCTTTGAATGAAAGTCAAATTCTGCGCAATTAGAAAGAGAACTTGGTTGTGTTAGTTCTAAACTCATAACTATAGAACTCTGTAGGTATGTTCTAAACTGCTTTCTAATTTCGAGATTAGAAGATGTGCTATGTTCTATTTTATTTCTTTTGTGTAAAAACCGATTTTTGTCTAAAAACGCATATTACTCTGATATGACTTTCTAAAGTCACTATCAGAATCTCACTTTAGACAAAAACAGTTATTTTATTGTGTTTATTTTATTGTGTGTTTGTCTTTAGTACTTTGGCGGTTTTAGGGTTTTATTTTTATTTATTTTGTTTTGTTTTATTTCCTTTATTTATTTTGTTTCTTTTGTCTTATTTGTTTTGATTTGAATTCCATTTAAAAACTGTTCTTTAATTCTTTCTTCCGCCACTTAAGCGTCTCTATTTTGTGTTAACTGCTTAGCATACTCTTTATCTTCTCTTTGCAAAACTGAAACCTTAAGTTGCTTTTGAGTTTCAAAAACCACAACAATGGCCGAATCAAGTTCAAACTCATCTTCAGACTCTCTTACTGAGCAAGAGCTTCAACTTCTGAAGAAGCTCTCGAAGAAATACGAACAGAAGGAGTCGAAGGAGAAAAAGGCTGAAGAGAAAACCAAGAAAAGAAAAGTCGAAACAGGTACTTCACAGAAACAGGGGGCGCCGAAATTCTTGTACAAAGGTAAGGTCAGTTCCTCTCAAGATTCTCTCAACTTACCCTCTTATGCGCTCCTATATGATTGATTGGAAATTTTTTGGTGGTGATGAGTTTAACTTTAAGGAACTTTTTGAGTTCTAAGGCTGGATGAAGTTTCTGTCTTTAAATATGTTATGTTATGAGAACCTAGTTAAGGAATTCTATGGTTCATTGAAGGTAAATGGGACAGAATCGATTTCTGTCAAAATTCAGGGTGAGACTAGGGAGATTTCGTATAATGATTTTGGGAGAATTTTTAATGTAGCTAATGCTGGGTCCAGAGTAACCAAAATCAAAGACGTATCTAGGGTTAGTGAATACAAGAAGGAAGACTTTGTGAAAAAGATAATGAAAAAGGTGTCTGCAGACAAACAAGGTTCAATAGAATGCTCCAACTTGACAGAGAGCATGAAATGGTTGGACAAGATCATTGTACATTATATCTATCCTAAGAGCGCTTCACTGACGTATGTGAATCAAGTGGAACTATGCATTATGTGGCACATAGTTGAGAAGTGGGAACTATGCATTTATGTGGCACATAGTTTGAGAAGAAACCTCTCAATCTATGTCACCATTGTGTTTGACCAAACTGCAGAACAACCCGAAAAAACGCTACCCATGGTATGATTCTATACGCCTGTGTTTAAGTTTTCTAAATGTTGATTTAGATAAGCATGTTTGGTCAGTCTGTTTTTCCAAGCTGGATAGTGGATCCTGTGAAATGGGGGGAAAAAAGGATGAGGAACCAGGTGAAGAGAAAGGGAAAGAAGAGAAAGACCAGACGAAAAGAAAAGGAGGAAAAGAAAGTA